TTTAAGGCATGTGGACTTCAACTCCCAGAATTCCATGGCCAGCATCGCTGGCTATGGAATTCTGGGAGTTGAAGTCCACATGCCTTAAAATTGTCAAGGTTGAGAAACACTGGTCTAGTTTAACGAAGAGGAGGAGGGGAGACATGATAGCAGTATTCCAATATCTCAGAGGCTGCCACAAAGAAGAGGGAGTCAAGCTATTTTCCAAGGCGCGCCTGAAGGCAAGATAAGAAATAACGGGTGGAAATTAACCAAAGAGAGAAGCAACCTAGAACTAAGGAGAAACTTCCTGACAGTTAGAACAATTAACCAGTGGAACAACCTGTCTCCAGAAGCAGTGAATGCTCCAACACTGGAAGTCTTTAAGAAGAGACTGGACAGCCATTTGTCTGAAATGGTATAATAGGGTTTCCTGCCTGAGCAGGGGGTTGGACTAGATGACCTCCAAGGTCCCTTCCAACTTGATATTATTATTATTGTTGTTGTTGTTGTTTTTATATAAAACCAAATTTTATTATATCTCATCATTATCTTTAGAAATCTGCATTATGAAATTATTGAAGTTGTAAGTCCATAGGCACTACGGAGCTTCAGCAGTTACTGGAAAGTCAGTTATTTAAGGTCTGTACATTGAAAAAATAACAATTGTCCTCATTCATTCAATCAGGATTCTGGGACATCAGTGTTTTTTGGAGTTCTGATTTTGCCATGGAGGAATCAAATAATAAAAAAAAATAATATTAAAAGCTACAGATTTGAAGAGTTCCAATCAGAGACCAGTCTGCAAAATTTATACAAGATATATAATTCAGATTTATCAGAAGTCTCAAATTGGGACTTGAAAAAGAGAATTTCATTTCTACAAATTAGGGTTTTAAATAGGAGACATTAAGGAGTACAGTAAATATCAAAAATGTAACTTTTAAAATTATAGTGACTGGTTGATAGTGGTATATTTCTGCTATGAATCAGACTAAGACGACAAATCTTAGCTTCTAAATTATAGACTTAAGAAATTTAAGTCTGGTTCTATGTGCTGTTGAGTGGATAAGAGAAGCAGCTAAATATATGGCAGAATCAATGTTCTGTCAACCCACAGATTAAATAGGGATTACAGATTATAATTATATTGCTAATATATAGCAAAGAACTTCAGTAAAGCCTCACAGGTTTTTTACAATTAGTTACAATTAGAAAGAAAAGCCAGTTTTATTTCTCTACAACACATCTTAAGACCTAAACAGTTAAATAATTTCACCACACGATTAGAATGACAATAATACTGAAATAATAAACATGTGGGAAATAAATCCCACTGAACTCAGGCAATCTACCAGATTGTAGGATCTTTTCAGTCACTGTGTGAATCTCTGGAACTCTTTTTTCAGGGAGCTGTTTGTCCTTAACAATCTTGCGGGAATTGTTGAAATGATTTCTTTTCACATATAATATTGCTTTTAAAAAATAAATTATCTTTAAAATGTCATTGTTACTTTTCTCTGCTATTTCTCTCTCTCTCTCTCTTCAGATATGCTGCTATCTGTAAATTTTTAACTGTTGGTCGTTTTAAATGATGTTTTAAAGATTACAAATAGAAATAAAAACTAATACAGGCTACAATAATATAAGAATAAAAAAGTAAATATGTAACTGCAGTGACCACCTAAAACTTTATAGAGAAAATGAGGATATAAATACTTTAAAACAAACATGTCAAAGTCACAAAAGTTTTGCCATTGCCGGCAATGGGGTGGGCGCAGCTTCCATGTGACATGTCCGGCCCATGGGCCGGCAGTTTGACACCCCTGTTTTAGAATGCGTGAATACATAAAAAGGTTCCCGTTATGATTGGAGAAGAAAGTTTGCAAAATCAGCTGTAAGAAAAAGTAATTTTCACATAGATATATCTACAAATGAGCCAACATTAATTAAAATAAGAGAAATCTTTAGCAATTGCTTGGACAACTAAGGTTCATGCAAGTAAAGGGTTATTTTAAACCAGGGGTCTTCAAACTTGGCCCTTTTATGAATTGTGGACTTCAACTCCCAGAATTCCTCAGCCAGGTACCAGAGCAGAGGCTTCCTGCTCTAGGAAACACAGCTCCCGTAATTCTCAGTTCACATGGCCATGGTGATTAGGAATGTAACAATTGAAATGCATCTGAAGGATGCCATTTTGGGAAAGGTGGAATCTGACAAGGCCAGACCTTTGCCTAAACAACATCTTTTTCCAGTCTATTTGTTGCTTTTAGCACCAGGCTGTAGACGTTGGGGATACTATTCTGTTCCACAGCTGACCACTGATACTCCACAGCTCAGCTGTTGCTCATTAAGCTTAATAAAGCAAAGCTCAGTGTGGCCTTGGATCTGCCTGTAAATTCCTAAACAGTCATTTACATCTCAGGTGCTCTGTGCTCTTATCTTCTGTTGGGGTCTCGCCTGCTTGGCCTTGATTATAACAGAACAGGGAATTGCCTCCCTTTGACCTGATTTTAAGATTCAGCTTTGTGCACTCAGCATTTCGGGTCATGAAATTTAAACTTACTTCTGATAAGCTAGAAGGTTCTGGATCTAATTCTTTGGACTCTCATCCTCTTTCCCCATGATCTCTGATTTGTAACAACTTTTCTGACTAAAGGTTTTAAAGAACTTAAAAGGTTGCAGTGCTTTTGAAACTGATCATGCTTGGTCTAAAGGTAGTAAGAATTTTGATAGGGTCATTAAAATACCAAATATATATCTAACAGATACATTGTTAAGTCTGGATCTACACAAACCTCAGTCTTTTTGCCTGAAAAAAATATGTCTTGTACTGTTCTGTTATTCGCCGATTTCCTCCATATGAATAAGACTAACTGATTAATTTCTGACACTTGACATCACTGCAGTTCTCTAATATAGGAAAAGTAGGTTTTGAGAACAGGAGGAGAGATGCTAACATTTTTCTATCCATTTGTCAACACAACTACACAGCCAGACATATTCCTTTACAGTAGAGATCCTCAACTTTTTGAGCACCAGGGACCAGTTCCATGGAGAGAGGTTTTTCCGTAGACCAGACGGAGTGCTGCTTGCATCCTGTGGATAGGGCTTTGCTTATTTGTGCAGACCAGTTGCTAGCATGCCATGGCCCAGTACTAGTCCACAGACTGGTGGTTGGGGACCCCTGCTCTACAGTACAATTAAGTTCTATTGCAGCTTTCCAGCCTAGAATGCACCAATGTGCTACAGCTATAACTTCTATGCTGACTAAGAATTCTGGAAAGTACAGTCCCCGTTCCTATGGAGGGTCTGCCTGAAGTGAAGGAGAATGTTTTATAGTTCCTCTTTGCAGAGCTCCCTTTTGTTATGTGCATAATATTTCTCAGCAGTTTCTGAGACGTAGGATTGTTCCAAGTTCACCAAAAGTTGAAGAATAGGAGGGGGAAAGGGAAGGGAAAGAGGAGACTTTAGTTCTGGCTGGTAAGTAAGCTCAAAATAAATGAAAAGGTGCTCCCCCTTCCTCCCCGCAGGTCCTGCTCCATGGTCTTATCCAACAAAACAGCAAGGGCTGCTGGCCCCAAGGACGTGCTGCTTTTTTAAATGTATGAGGATCAAACCCTAAAGCTCATTAAGGATAGAAGCTAACTGCTTGATAACTTCGATTTGGTAGTCACACAAGTAATTCTTCTATTTGTCATCTCAATCATATTCTTAGCCACAGTTGCCATCACTCTCTTTAAGATTCACCTTAGAGACCCAGAATGCTATATGACAGTAGATGCACCCCACATCTCTCAGATCTAAACTCTGAAAGGAGGGCTTCAAGCTAAGCACAGTCCAAGAGAGGAAAGAATAAGGGTGCATTCTGAGCTAGCAACCTACAAAACTTAAAATAGTAATGTTCTCTTTTCTCACAGTTGGTGAGAATTGCAGCAAGAGGCCATTTATCCTGATTAATTTTAAAACTCAAGAATTCTGGGACACTTTTCTCCTCAGAGATGCCTTTAAACACTTTTAAGTACCTCTGTTTCTTTCTGTCCTTCTGTATTAATGGAATTATTTCCTTCCATTTTTTCAGGAGATGGGCTTTTGTCACTGGCTAGAATGAAGAAAAATTAAGGAACTAAATTGTCAGTCCTACAGCTTGCTAATTAGCAGTTGAATGTGTTCTATAACTTTCTATCACACTTCTATCACCAGTACTTTTCCCTTAAACCAGATTAGTCTCATTCATTTCAATGTGTACCAGAATGATATATTGCAAACACTTCAGAGTGAATGCCCTGGAAAAAAAGTCATTCTCTCTTTTGAAAAGTCACATGTTTCTACCAGAGGACAAGAGCAGGTCTGAAAAGAAGGATCAAGTAGAATGGCAAAAAAAAAAAAAAAAACCTCATCAATTTTTGGCAGTCATCCCACTGGGAAAGTTTTAAAGAAATATTGTGCAGATTTTCAGCCTGTGTTAATGATAAAAGTTGACACTGAAGATAGATGTTCATGGCAACAGTAAAGTTTACATTGAACTTCTCCAGCCTGGTGGCCTGTAAGGACTGAGACTCTAAAGTCCATAATTCCTTGCCTACATTGCAACTGGTAATTATTCAGAAAAAAATCAAGTCCTATTTTTGTTTAGTTGCCTTTTTCCCTCTCTACTAGTCTGATGGGATCATCCCTTCAAAAATAATATTTGGCTATAGTCAGGAGGCAACCTGGAAGCACAAAAAAGACTCCACTGTTGTCTATCAATTTCTGTCTACACGTTTTCATCTTTAATAAGCCAGTTATATCATAATTCTCCTTCCCCAGTGTTAATTATCTTTCTTTCCAAAGAAAACTAGGGGTGGTGACATGGTAAGCTCTTTGTCCTATTCTCAGAGGTAGAATAAAGTCAAGCGGAAGGAAGAAGGAAGGAGAGAAGGAGCTCTTTGCTTCAGTGAAACATTACAGCCCATCTCAAAAGCTGATTTGCCAAGCTTCAGGAGGCAAAAGAGGATGGAGGATACAGTAAAGATTCGCACCTGTTGTAAGGATTCCTCAGGAGAAGAGCCTGGCTGCTGGAGCAACTGTCTGTGGGAGTGTGGCAACCGTACACTGGGGGAGGCACCGAATATTGTTGGTCACCTGCAGATAAACCATAAGAAATTCACAATCTCGCAGCATGACTCATTAATGTCACATGTTGGGGTGGGAAGGCAGTGTTCTCTAGTCACTCTCAAACTGCAAGAGTCATCAACTGGAGCAAAGACCACTCACTAGACCAGGGGTAGGCAACCTTGGCTCTTTTATGACTCCTGGACTTCAACTCCCAGAATTCCTGAGCCAGCCTACCCCTGCACTAGACTATCCAATCTTTATTTCAGTTGTAGCATTCATTTGTGGGGATGATGAAAAGTTTAACAAAATGTAAAATGTGATTGAAGAGCTGTCTGATGAGTGAGCCTTGTTTCAGATTGTAATTCATTTTTTTTATGTTCTCCAAAATAAATTTATATTTTTCCTGTTTTTAATATGAGTGCAATGATATTGGTAACCAATTTTATAAAGCTGCCTCAATGTAGTTTTTCCTTTGGAAGAAAACCTGAGCACCAAGCATCCCCACGGCTGGGTTTCTACAACACACCTAATAACAAATTACCATGTTTTACCTGGTGTGCTATGTGAACACAGCCATCCCCAGTACAGTTAGCCCAGGGTTCAAAGCATCCTGCAAACCAGAAAACTCCTTTTCACTGAGTGTGTGTGTGCTACCTTTGAAGTCCCATTTGCTTTTGATAATACTAAAAACTGGTGCTTAATCTTGAGATCTGTGCCCAAATTATTTAGCAGTCACATGAAAATAAGATTATTTTTGTGCCTTACAGTAGACAGGCTGGATAATAAATATAATTATAATAATACAATAGCAATGTCAGAACCAACAAGATTCCAACATAAGTTTGAGTTTTCTAGATCTAGAATTTAGAAACCCAAAAGACTTTTTGCAGATAGTCATTGATTTCACTGGAATTTACTACTTGCTGAGCTCAGTCTTAAGTAGATTCACCCAGTAGTAAACAGAGGGACACAAAAGATTACTATCAGCTAAGTGTGTTATCAAGTTTAGAACACAATGGATTCTGGATAGACAAGAGCTCGGTTGCAAACTGGCTTAATTTAATCCAGTCTTCCTTCCCCATTCTGATGTCCTCCAAATGTATTGAACAACTATTCCTGCTATTTTCAGCTTATCAATACTGACTAGAAATTCCCGAAGCTGAAAGGCCAAATAGAAACCTTGGAGGGAATCCTATCGAGGAAATTAGAATTAATCTGTTGATGAAGAATTACTGACATAATCCCAAAGATTGACTATTTGATTTATGCTGGAGGAAGGTCTCTTCTGTGCCAGTGAAGTTACTGCTGGGCTCATGGAGGAGTAAAACTGTGTTACAATATTCCCACAGAGTTATCCCAAAGGCAGTTGGACTTTTATATATATATATATATGACATTTCGCTTCTCATCCAAGAAGCTTCTTGGGGGAAAAGCAAAACGTCTTCAAAGAAAAATAAAAAAGTCCAGTTGCCTTGTGAAAAAGCACCTTTGGGATAATTATGACCTGGATGACTGAGAATCTCCGTAGACCAGTGTTTCTCAACCTTGACAATTTTAAGGCATGTGGACTTCAACTCCCAGAATTCCACAGCCAGCTATGTTGGCTGTGGAATTCTGGGAGTTGAAGTCCACATGCCTTAAAATTGTCAAGGTTGAGAAACACTGCCGTAGACATTCCCACTGAAGTTTCAAAGCCTCTTGTAATTCTTACAGTCAAGTCCCCAGCTTCTCAGTTACCCAACTGCTCTTTGCCATTAGGATGAACCAGATTAGGCACAGAGACGCCAAACCCTCTCAATTGTTAGTACAGGCAAGGCCCCAGTATTAAACAGTGTGTGTGTGTGTGTGTGTGTGTGTGTGTGTGTGTGTGTGTGTGTGTAGCAAACAACTTCCCTCTCTCCCACCCGGGACCGGTTCGCACAGATGTTTTCCGCTACCATTTACCTAAAGGCGTCTGCTGGCCGATGGGGTCCTCATGCTTGAAGGAGTGGTTTGTAAACTGTGCCCCAGGGTGAGAGGGAGTATGGCCGTAACTTGGAGCTCCATCAAACGCCACTGTGCCGTAACCTGCCAAGAGAACAACAGGGTTGGAATCAGGGGCTGAATTGCCTGCCCTTGAACTTTCTTCCTGCAAGAACCTCCCTCTAGACAGGCAGGAGGCGAGAAGTTGTCAGAAATAGGAAGCCCTGCTCTGCACTGCAGCAGATGGCTTCTTTCTCCAAAAGAGAGGGCCAAAATCCATGAACTCAGAATGGCAGGGTTCTCATTGAATGGAGGGCAGGCTTGTTTTCCTGCAGTGCCTCCTACCTTTACATCTGAACTCAGCCTGGGCATAAAAGGCTGCTGCCCATTAAAAAGATAAAAAGTTGATTTTTAGATGTCCATCCAAAGCAGAGAACAAGCCACATATGTCTTCAAACAATCAGCGGTGAATATAAGTGCAAATAAATAAATTTAAAGTGTAATAAATAAATGGCACCAACCCAAAATGATAGGGAAAAGGTATGCAGGTTTTCCAGTTCTTCAAAACTCTCTTCGTCTCACAGTGAAAAATTCTGGGGAAGTCGGAAACGTTTGCACCATTTTCTGACTTTCTGATTGGTCCCGATAACAGTTTTACTCAAGCATGGGGTTGGGTTTTGCGTCTCTGCCTTCCTTTGAATAAAGGGATAAAAGCTGCAGAAACTACTGGATCCGGTGCATATTAGATGTTGATTCCAGTGTTTCAAAATTTTGGCGCCAGCAAGAGTTTAGGGCAACAAATATCAACGGATATTCCCAGTTTTGAAATCCACACGGGGTTTGGCTATCTTTTAAAAGCCCGTGTCGGCCGTTTCCCCCAGTAAAGCAAAGTTTCCATTAATAGTCCCCCGTATATAAGAAAAAGTCCTGATCTGCTGAACAGACTTGCCTGCCATTCCCACATGTTAAAGTTACCCTTTAATCTCGTTCTCGCTGGCTTCTCGCTTGTTTTGTAAGATTAACTTTCTGAAGAGCCTGCAATAAAAATGGCAGCCCATTAAATGAAAAATAACCTCCTACTTTAGCCGAAAATTACTCGCTCAAATAATAAACAGCTTATTTTAAAAAGAAAAAGAAAGGAGCGAACTCAGATGGAAAAAAAATCGCCTGTTGTGACCTCAGGGTGAGACCGAATCGTAAATCAGGCGTTTAGACACCAACTTTCATTAATTACGTGGAGCCAGTTAAACAACTTCGGCTAAAAAGTAATTACAAAGTAATATTATCTTTAAGACTTCTCCGCGCATCAGCATTTGCCCTACGACCGTGAAATGTTTGGCGTAGGGTCGCTATGAAATCTTCCCTCGCTTTCCCAAATACCGCAGCAAACGCTTCTTTCTTTAAACTAAATAATCACTTTTTGGAAACTTCTCTTCCGGAACACGTTGAGTTAGAATTCCGCAATTTCTTTTAAATTCGCTGCTCTTTGAAGAACAGGTTTGCACGTTCAGAATACAAGTTGCTTATAAGAGGAGCAACAAGTCGTAGGCTTTGCTGGAGGGGGGGAGGAGGCAAATGCCTTTTCTGCTGCAACCCTACAACCTGCTTCTCCGGACTAACTCTGGCTGTCGAAAAAGCCGTTTAGGTTCTTAGAAAAAGGTTCGCGAACTGATTGGAACAAAACTGAAGAAAAGGGGCAGAAATTGAAGGAGGGGAGGTGGAATTGCGGGTCACTCACATAAACGCATCACTGGATGCCCACAAGATGCAATATAGTTCACCAGCTACTCAAAGCTTGAGAAGACTTTACTAAAAGGCGACGTAAACTTGCGCTCCTCATTCATCAAATGGCCATTCCGATCCAACCGTCCCTATTGACTGTTGCTAATATGTAGTTAGGCGGACAGCCTGCATGTAGCATTGTCACCTTTGGGACGCAAATTTTTATTTTTGACTTTTCTCGAGGAACCAAAACTTGTGAAGAAAAACCCGCGCAATCTTTTAATGGGGATAGACGGCAGGACTAGAAACGTTTCGATCTTCGTTGTATTCTGATTTTGTAATCTATCTAGTCTCAGTTTTGGTACGTGGCCAGACGTGGGCTCGGAGAAGAAAGCTATGAATCTAGAAACTCACTTTTCCTAAACGTCTTTATTTAATTGAGAAGTACTGGCGACGTTTCAAATTTAACGCGCTCCTGCCTCTTCTTTAAAAGTAAAGCCTAGTCAATTCCATTGTCTGAAATCTATAAACCATTTTTTTGCCTACATCAGCTTTCCCCAAGTCTGGGCCTCTCCAGATGAATTTCAACACAGGGAAAGTGAATCTAACTGCAAATCTGTAGATATTTCTAAAAGGAAGGAAATTGAATATAGAAATCTGCCTGTTTCAATGGGTTTATTTTCCAGGTAAGTTGCTTGGATCATAATTTTTTATTCTTCCAAAGGTTCCTGGACTCTGGAGCTTATGGCGTTTACAGAGTCATGCAAGCCTGGTCCAAAAGCTTGGGATCACATACTACGGTATGTTCTCCTCCAGCTTCATTGCTTCCTAGAATACCAGCGGTTTTAAGGCGCTCCTGAGGGGTCCCGCCTTTATCAGCACATTTCACTCTTTTAAAGAGACATCTCGCCATTCAGTTTTCAGGTCAACGCCCCTGATCTTAAGTTTATTTATCCTGACTTCTTTCGGGGGAAAAGAGTTTATTTCAGCCTGTCTGTTCTGAAGTCCTGTCGAGTTCAGGAGACCCTGCTGTCAAGAAAGTGGGGATCGATCAGCCTTTCCATTTCTAAAATCTCCTTTACTATAAAACCCGAGCCACTGTGCCGAAGGGGACTCTTTCTTATTCTTGAACATGTGCACATGGGGCTGCTGTAACTCAAAACTTTCCAAAAGCTTGGGAGGAAATGGGCTTCAAGTCATAGCAGGTTCAAAAAAAAGGGGGGGGGATGGACTACTTTATTTTGGCGCCCCGCAGGGGAAAAAAAAAAAGTCTTAAACGGCTTTTGAAAAATTCAGGTTTTTCTGTCTTTCCAGTCCACGGAGTGGAGATCCCAGCGCATTTGCACTGAGCTGAAGGTAAAGGAGGGGGGGGGAAGGTACAAACACCTTGCCCGGTAAATTGTCGTTTCTCCCCACACACACACACATCCCACACACACTTTTCCTCCCACCCATCGTCGCGCCGCGCATTTGGCAGGCAACTAGGAGCCGGCGCGGCCTGAGCCTTCAAAGCTGCCGCATGCGCCTGGCGCGTTCTGGTGCTTAAGCGTCCCTTGTCTATTCGGCCGAGGAACAGTGATGACAGGCCGGTGCCCAACCCCTGCGCTTCCAGGCATCAGCTGCTCCGAACTGCCTTATCTCAGCTCATAACGCACAAAGCCAAGGGCTTTCCCTCCTCCCCTCGGCTCTGCAAAGCTCCTCCAAGCCCTGAAGCTCTAGATCCGGAGTTCCCTTTGCCCAGCAGTTAGTTCCGTGGCCTTCAAAACGCTGCCCGGAGCAGACTGGTGTTTTGGCCACATTTCCCGGCGTTGCATGACCCAAAGCTTCAAGAATGCGATAAGGAGGTTGGAGTTCTGAACCAGCCCCCTGATAGCGAGGTCTCTTTAATTAGGGCTTTATCAGAGGCCGAGCTGATTAAAATGTGCTGAAAATAATTGCAGTGTGGACATCTGGCGAAGAAGGCCACTCTTCTGAAGGGGTGCGATTGTTTAGGGGACCCAGCTGCGTGGCGAGAAGGGAGAGGGAGGAGACGGAGAAGGGGGCAGGTGGCCTGGCAAAAAGTTCAAAGCAGAAGGGTGCCTTCTCCCGGAGAAGACTTGGCAAAAACGCCGAGGTAACTTCTTTCCCACGGTGGGAAAAAAAAAAACAAAAAACCCGTCTCCAACGGAACGTTCAACCTTGGTGGACTCAAAAGCAGAGAACGTTAGGTTCATTACTCAAACTTACCAACGTCCCCAAATTATATCTTTTTTTTCTTTTTATCACAAAGTTGTGTGCTGGATGTGGTGCCCAGTATTTTCCCTCTCCTCCCCCCCTCCTTCCCCCGTTTTTGCTTTGGAGCAACAGAGCATTTTTCATGACTTTTAAAATTATACTTGCTTCGCACCTTTCTGAAGCGGCAATTAAAAAGCGATTCTTTCCTCGCTTTTTAGGAATTGCAGCCTAACTCTAAAGCAATTGTGTTTGGCTAGACCTGTCATACAACAGGAGCTGAAAGATCAGCCATCCAGATTTCTCAGCCAATCCTTTTAAAATCAAGAATCCCTTGGTTTTGGAGTAAGAACGGAAGACAAAGTTTTCAAATTTGAAATCAAATTAAGCCCCAGCTCTTAAATGATACCAGCATACATAGCATCAAATATATCTAAATCTCTAAATCTTCTGATTCAAGTTCTATTTTGGGCATAAGTGCCAAGCCTTGTGTTAAGAACATGGAGATGATAAATCTCTTTCCATGAGGTTTTTGTTTTTGCTACTTTCTCCATCACTAGAACAATCAAGAGATGCAGTTACACAAAAAAAGTTTTGAAAACTTTGCATATGTAGGTAGCCATTCGCATATGCAAATGGGAGATTTAAAAAAAATCAATCCTTTCTAAGTGTGCATACATGCATGCATGCATATACTTTTGGAAGAACTGAGGAGTGTTTTACACACACACACACACACACACATAAATATTATAAGAGAAAACCCTTGAGGCTCCATTATATTAAACTCAGTTAGATGGTAATTAATGATATCAAAAATCTTTCAACTGCAATTTAGATTTTTAGTAGTTTTACTGATTTCATTGAAGTGGGATCTCTTCTCTTGTCCTATAAAAACACGTGCTTTATTCAGCAGCCTTATCACCTGGAATAAAGATGTTTCATTGTTTCAAATATAAGCTGGGTCCGTACCTACATTCCAGAATTCCAATAATGTGGTGTTGATTAAAAAAATAATACCATTAACCAAATGCAAGAAATCAATGGGATCGAGAAGAGAACAGAAATTCAGGGAACCGAATGAAATTCTGAAAGAGTATAAGAAATTGCCTTCACAACTTAACTATGTTAGATGCAATAAAAGTAGAATCGTTAACATTTAATAAAAACTTTTTTAAAGAATTGAAAATCATATAAAGAATATTAAAGTGCAGCATTAAGAATAATTAAAATAAATGTGCTATTAAAAATAAATTATTCTCTCTATTGCTCTGAACTGTTCACACAATTACACACCCCTCCAAAGCACTACTTCTGCAACAGGTTTAACTACAAAACTAAATGCAAATAACTATGGAATTCACCATTAACTGTTTTCTGCCTAATAATACTATGTATACATCTGCAGAAGTAAGCTATTGCCTAGAATTACAGTGTAATGGTATTGTAATTCTATTGCACAAGCTCATCAAAAAATTGTCCTTTGTTTTTAATTTTTAAGATTTTTGTTAAGATCAGTTATTTTGTGGTTCCATGAATATTCTTTTCTTCTTACATAAAATATCTAGATAAAAACTAAAGTTTTAGGACAAGATTTGCTTGATCAAGTTGTTTCCATTTTGTAGGAATAAGCAAATATTTCATCATACTTTTATCCAGCAATGGTCATTTCTTCAATAAGGTGCTATTCTAGGAATGTAGTTTGAGTACAGTGTACTTGTTGGGTGCAATTTCCCTTTACAGCTTAAGAAACATATATGTTTCTACATAGACTTGCTTAAGGCATGGTGATGCTTAAGTATCAAATCCATAGGATTTTGGTTTATTGAAAAATATAAATGAATTCTGAAAGTGTAGCAGTGTAGTATCATGTATAAACCCAGCATCGGTTTACTGAGATGAATGAATGGCATTCATTCTCTGATTGCACCATAGCTCTCACTGATTTCAGTAGGATTAGGGAGCTAAATTACAGTGTTTCAGGAAACAAAATTGGTGTGTTAATTTTGCAACTTCTGTGGGTTAAACAAATGATGTCCAGGAAACAACTTCCCCTTTCTTCCTTTCACTATAATTCCCTTTGTGCAGTTTTAGCTTCCTAAAATATAGAGATGAGCTAACATAATATAATAATCTTGACTGTATTCCATCACTGTACATTTGCTGCATTAAAAGCCTTATTAGGTCATAATTTATCTTCCCACCCCATCAGTATCCATTTAGCACTATTTGCTATACCGATGCACCATAACTTTTTAAAATTTTATTTCCACAGGAATCAATTCTTCAATCCTGGTTGAAAGAAATCATTTCAACAATTGGTTGCAGTGACATTAACTAAATGAACTGTTAGATTCGTAAAGAATGCTTTTTTGTATCTTCAGCCCAGTTATAAACAAACCGCAGTATCTGCTTGCTTAAAACAATGTCTGCAAGAAAATACCAAGTACCATTCATAAAGACATTAGGAAGTAAACAGAAACTAATAGGAACGCCGTATGTGAAACAATTATTAAAGGTAAATGCCAAAGACATTAAAGTTGTAATAACAACTCACTGAGTGCACAGTCCCATGCACTTTTATGCAGAAATCTGGGGCATGTAACTCAATAGGTTCTCTTCTTGGATAAGTGAGAATAATCAGATTGCTAATTTGGGTTTAGAATTGTTGATACTCTTGTTGGAAGATAATGTACTTTTGCATGTGCACAACATTCCTGATCTTAATCCTGGAATGAAACAAGTCCGACTTAATTCAGAATTGTAAATGTTAGTTTCTTTTTCTGAAGCTTGGCTGAATTTCACTCCTAAGTAAATATATACCACTACAAAAGGAGAAGGTGGAGCGATTGTTATGATTCATTCAGTGCTTGAAAACCCAGTAAGCATAATATTACAGAAGGGTGTAGCCATATAGAAGAGAGCATAAAGTAAATCCATGCCCCCAAATTCCACTCTTTGGGACAAATATGGATTGCATCCACACTATCAATCCTTAACCCTCTTTTTTCCAAATAGCTTTATCAGGACTTTCATGGGAAGAAGACTTCAGAGTTATGATTAGAAGCAACAAACCCACAAGCCCTTTAATCCATAAATATCTGGTTTTGCTTTGTGTGTGTGTGTGTATGTGTGTGTGTATCAGATATATGTACTATAGTTCACAAGGTAATCAGCATAGAGTTTGCTAAATGTATATATCTATTCAATCGGAAGCTATAACAAATTGTAAATTAATGGCACATTCCTGAATAAATTATTTGGAACCTAAGTTTATTAAGTTTAATAGGGCGATCTCACAAGTTTACATTTTAATCCCAGGTTTACTTTCGAGGCACGTGAAGTATGTTCATTTACTATACCCGCTGAGTCCAAGACCCACACTGAAGCATTTACCTGCAACCTATTTCAAACCTATAAATTGATTGACTCACACAGTACTCTGTGCTAATTAGATGTGCTAATTTTACATCCTAACAGTCCTACGCGCACGCATTGAAAAACTTAACTCCAGTTCGGATTTTCCGCACGGATATTTAGGACCAATGATTGATTCCTAGCCTAAGATGGTTGCAAGTCCTTTGCACCCTTTATTAACAGCCACCCTAGCATCTGTCCACGCTACCGTTGTTAAGAGTTGTTCATTACAACGGCGTTAAATCAATTTGCCGCCTTTGAAAGATGCCCCCCCTTTAACAATCGTTGGTTACTTTGTGAATTAAATATTTAAAAGATGCTCAGGATGAGGTCCTCCCCCCCCCCCGAGGCTTGCTACAATTCAGGCTCAGGAGCTTGCCAGGGATCGCTCGCCCCCCAGGAAGGGCTCGTGGACGCCTCCTTATCCCTGGTGCCGGCGGGGCCGTGAAAGCGAGGGGGACTCCTGCCTAGGTGAAAGCGGCGGGTCCTCCCCCCCGCACCCCAAAAAAGCGCAGGCTCCCCCCTTCCCCTGGGCTTACCTTGGTTACGGATGGCTTGCTGGCTCTCCAGGCAGTTGGGCAGGTAAGGGCCGTTGGGGAACATCCGCGCCTGGCCGGAGGGCGCCTGGCTGGGCGGCGGGGGCGGCGCGAAGGGTCCGTAGCGGCAAGCGCCGGCCGTGCCGGTGAACTGGCCGGAGAAGTGGACGGTGAAGGCGCTCAGGCACTGCTCCTCGTGCGGGTCGCCGGAGCTCCAGCTGGGTTCCTGCTTGATGAAGGCCGAGGGCGGCGGGGCCAGCGAGCCGTAGGAGGCCGCCGGCGGGAAGTCCAGCACCGGAGCCCACTGCGCGGCGCCGCTCACCGGCATGGAGCAGGTCCCGTTGCCCGGCAGGGGCGGCACCGAGGGCGGCAGCAGCGCGTTGAGGTCGCGGACGTCGGAGCCCATCTGCTCGCCCGCGCAGACTTTCCGCCGCGGAGCCGGGAACCAGTCGCGGGCCCCGCCGGCCCCGGCGCCGGCGCCGCACTTGTTCCAGGCGGTCTGAGCCCGGCCGGGGTCCGGCTGGAGGCACCAGGCGGCCGGGCTCAGCCCTTTCGGGGACGCCGGCTCGGCGGTGGCCAGGCAAGGCGCGGGCTCCAGCCCTGCGGCCGCCGGCAAGAGCGAGAGGGCCAGGTTGGTCTCCAGGGTCGCCCTTTGGCCCGAACGGCGCGGAAGGAAGGCTGGAAGTCCCGATATGGAAGAAGAGCGAGGGACCCGACGGACGGACGGACGGACGGACGGCCCTCCGGAAGGCGGTGGCGGCGGTAGCGGCGGAGGCGGAGGCTCCGGACCGGGGCCCCTGCGGGAACGCTTCGAAAAGCCGCCTCGAACTTCTCCCCTCAGCCGCGGCTTTGCCCTCCGGCCCCGCGAAGCTGGGCTAATTGAGAGCGACTGGCGGCGCGAGACGGAGGAGGAGTCAGCCGCGCGCGCGGACGCTCCATTCACACTTCCCGCAACAACGCGGCCTCCCGGGGCGCAGAACGCTCAGGCGACGCGGGGGGGGGCGGAGGGAGGGAGGGCGGGAGGGGTAAGGGACCCGCGCTCTCCCCCACAGGCCAAGGAGCGTGGCAGAGACGCTGGAAGGGTTAGCCTCGCCCCCCAGCCACCTCTCCCTTCGCCTGGCACAGCCCTCTGCATTCGGGGGGGGGCTGGTCAATCAATCAGAATAGAGCTGGAAGGGACCTTGGAGGTCTTCTAGTCCAGCCTCCTCCTCTAGCAGAAGACCCTCTACTATCTCAGACAAGAGGCTGGCTAATCCCTTTTGGAAAGCCTCCAAGTGATGGAGCAACTCCTGAAGGCAAAGCGGAGCCACTGGTTGACTGTCCTTACCGTTAGGAAGTTTCTCCTTAATTCCAGGTTGCTTCTCTCCTTGATTAGTTTCCACCCGTTGTTTCTCCCCTTGCCTTCTGGTGCTTTCTGGTCCTCAGAGGTCCGGGCCTCTTAAAGCGGGAGTGGTGAAAGCTGTGCCACAGGTAACGGGGAAGGAATTGCCCAGGGAGAGATGGCTTCTGAAAAGGGGCTTCTGTGTGGAGGAGATGAGTCCCCTCTCCTAGGCTTACAGAAGATGGAAATGGGCGCCAAACTTTGGTCAGGGACTACTTGAAATGTTCGGTCTTCGCCCTATTTAAATAAGGAGGCAAAGATTAACCTTCCCTCCACATACTTTCTCAAATGTGCCCCACAATGTGCCCATCAGCCAGTCGGGAGGGCTGCTTCCCGAATCTTCGCTACACCACACCACCTCGAAACAAACACCCGGGTCCTCGTAAAATCTTTCAACTCAGCCGCCAGGTTGGACGAGTTCTGAGTTGGTCGGTGAAGGCCTTGCTGGTAAGAAAGGAGCTAAGTTGACTCACCTTCTGCCAAGCGATTGATCTAACACCACCACCCCCCAAAATCTTTTTGACTTCTCTCCAATAATGTGGACATGGCAGGTTAGTTCTGAAACCAGTTAGAACTAAGGATGATGATGATGATGATAATAATAATAATAATAATAATAATAATAATAATAATAATAATAATAATAATAATAATAATAATAATAAAGTTGGATGGGATCTTGGAGGTCATCTAGTCCAACCCCCTGCTCAGGCAAGAAACCCTATACCATTTCAAATCAAAATGCTTTAACAAACTCCCTAGACTACACCAGGAGTGATAGGACCAGCAAAATCTGGTCCAGCTTTTTCTGCAGGTCATCGTTCTTCCTGCTTTCCTTTCCAATAGTGGGGTCATATTCTGTCTGGAATCAAGCTTGATTCCTGGTGACTATAGAGAAAAACATTCACATGCACAAAAGCGATCTGTCCTTTTTTCCCCCAAGATTTTTGTTGCTTATTATTTATTCATTTATTTTTCAGTCTAATCTTTAGCTATAAGAACTCCTGGTGGTCTCCCATCCGCGGACTAACCAGGTCCCACCTTATGTAGCCTTTGAACAGTGATGCTGCCCTCTGCTGCAGGCCTACAGAAGCAGGGAGTTTTTATAGGTGGCTACTAGTCAGCATTGTTGACAGCTGTTGTTTATGGTATGTAAAGGAGGCAACTCGTAGACTACCTCTTAGCTACCGGTAACCTTAGCAACAGTGAATTTCTCTAAAACTGCCCAGGTTGGTGGTCAGCATCTAGGTAAATGGACAGGGGGAGAAATTTATGGGATTAACCGTTAGCTGGCCAACCCGAGATGGGGAGGGAGGTGGAGGTGATCTGAAGCCTTTTTCCACAGGAAAGATGGAAAGAGACTTTTTAAAGAAAACCTTTTTTTTTTTTTAAGGAGCCAATTCCTTCCTTCAGGCTGAATTCGCCGCCTGACTCTGTTAAAATAGGTCATGTTCCAAACAAAGGGATAATCGGGGCTTTCCGGCAGAGTTTAATATAGTTCAGGAGTTTTCCCTCGTGGGCGCTCCATACTCCCAGCCAACAGACGATAAACTCGCTGCCCCGAATAGCTGGGCTGAACGAATGGAAGGCAATGGGAAACTTTATTCTGTCCTCTTCCGTTTGCAGCATTTAACCTTGAACTGCTTTCCACCATCCCCGATCCGCTCAAGGATTAACCTTGTGCGCAGATCCTGGAAAGACGGTGCCTAATCTCAGGTATTGCTAAATTTGAACATCCACCTGAAACTTCGCAACTTTCCTCAAGGTCTCAGCTCTCTCGGGACGTTTTTCACGTGTTCTTCCATAGCCTGAAATGCACTTTTGTTATTTCCGCATCCCTCCTAAAATCTCCACGGGCCATTTTCTGGTAAAAAAAAAAGATCCATATTAACTTTCAAGGAATCATCGCGCTTTTGAAAAGAGTCGCTTTCCTGCCACTTGAATAGGAAGCGAATGAGATTGGGCGAAGGGGAGACTAGCTCGTAAAAGATGTTGCAGGCGCAGCTGGCAACTGTTCACCGGGCTTCCCTGATGCCAGGGGCGTTTTAGGGGAATCCAACGAGCAGGCACAGACGGGTGAATCCCTAAACTTTACTAACCCCACCTTCAGGTTGCAGAAATATATTTTCAGACGACCCGCGGTGTTGATCTGTGGCAGCAAAAAGCAAGGGAGTCTTGCGGCGGCAGCCACTCCGCGAAGGCTTTCTTGAGAATTAAACCTGTTGCTCTCTTAAATTGCCCGCTTCTTCGTCAGATTTAAAGGGAGTCTGGGATGAAAGAGAGCGACCGGCTGACTCAGAGCTGCCCACGAGCCTTCCGTGCCTGAGCTTGGACTGAATCCTAAATTCCCGCAGCAGTTTAATCTTTGCACCGCGCTCCTTCGTGGCTTCTTTTTCACAGCCCTTCTTCCATTGTGCAGTTCTGGGCGAACCCTTCCTACCCACCCGGTGGCCTTACCGATCTTAAGAACCGTATGGGTCTACTTTTAAAGCCCGCGATAGGGGAAATGCACGCGATTCCTCTGCGTTTCGTCCGTTTGGATTCGCCTGAGCTTTCAATGGGCGGGTATGGAAAGGGGCTGCGGAGGAAGCATCCTTTCCCCAAGTCCCACCGCCCTTTCTGCTGAGGAGTGGGATTCGGAACCACCCCGAGGAATACCTGGAACCTGAGGGAGAAATAAGGGGCGGGGGGGCCAGAGAACCGAGATTCTGGAATGCCTGTTCAGTCTTCCTTATAAGACCGTTTGTATGTGACTTGTGAACTGTTGCTCTGCGCTTTTTAACGGACGGCGGAGCTGCAACAGGACAAGCCGAAAAAAAGGGTTTAGCAGTGGCCCTTCTATGACACTTCCTTTTAAAAAAAAATATGCATCAGTTTGAGGAGGACTGCACTGGGGATTATTTTTAATCAGTGCCTTGGGAAATAAGATAAACACATAGTTGAATCTCACCGAGAGCTTTTTCTATTTCCCTAAGCTCATATATATCTCTGCATCAAACTGACTTGTGTAACCAATGAACGTCTGGGTCCGCCCACCTCCAACTCTGGATTTTCTTCAGAGTGAACCCTATGGGGGGGGGTAAATTTTACTCTAAATAAATCCCATCAGCGGGAACAGTTAGATTGCAATTACCAATTTACCTGGGAGTAAGACCTGTTGACTTTCTTAGCTTTTGGTCTTGACTGAGTGAACACAACAGCACTTGTCCATCTGAATCCTGCTTTGTGGCCCAAATCCTGAGCACCACCCAGCCAAATGAGCTGGAGCATCTCCACCCAACCGAGTAAGTCTGACTTACTTGGAGGGCTTATATTTAAAAAGCCTCCTCCCTCTGCGGTTCAGAATCCAAGATTGTCAAACTACACCGGTCCTAAAAGTTGGAAAGGTTAAGTCCAGACCGAGGCTGATGGAGTTAAGTACATGCTCCCACAGCCTCAAGATGGCAGCCTGAGATGTTTTTGACATCTGGCTCTGATGACAGCTCTTAACAGATGAAATTTAGTGCAATAAACTTGCTGGTGTATGTTACAGGAGAGGAAGCAAAACGTTGCAAATCACTCTTCTAATGTCACTTGGAATATTTCAGCAAGTATTAAAGAGCCTAGTTAACGCAGGGCTCCCAAGGGGACCCGGGTTACCTGGTACATGAAAAGGGCAACATGTAAAATTTCAGTCTGAGTGTATTTCTTTAATAGCATAATGCACGATGTCAAATATGTTTTCTTTTTAAAACGAAGAGTAAATGAGACACCTTTAGTTGATGCAATGTAGTAAATTCATTTCCAATCTCAGCAGTATTGAGAAAGATGGCTAAAATAAAACAAAGTAGCCGGTGAAGTCTATGTCATTCAGAAAAATGAAGTAAACAGTTATTAGTATTGCAAAATGAGATTTAAATAAAACCCATTTTGCCCTTCTTACGGTGTGCTTTGGACATAATATTCATCCTGGTGGTGACATTAATTTTGAAAGGAATTGGTACATTTGAGTAGATAAATTGAAAGCAATGTAGAGACTATTCCTATTGCCAATTCTATATATAAAACTAATAGTAATAACAATAATAAATGCATACCTGGCTATGATCCTATAAAACTGTATGGGTAGTTTGGAAATAATAAGATACATCTAATTTCTGACAGTTGATTTTTGAGCAGATTT